TAAAATACAAGGGAGAGTTAGGAAACTTTTTGAAAAGCACCGTGATGAAGTGAACTGTCTCATGTGGTAAATGGGGAAATGAGGACAAAGGTGAAGTGACCAAAAATGGGGTCCTCTTGGAATCCACTTGGGATTCCTTTGATTTTTGTGATGGTTATCTTCCAGAAGGAGTCTGGGAACACCACAGCATTATGCCTCTGAGTGAAATGCAGCCACACCTGAGTTTGGACCTCACGTGGCTGCCTCATGTATAGTTTCATCCTGTAAATCTTCCTTTTCACCTGGACTCGCAAACCTCAGCTCAGCACGACGTACTGGGTGTGCCGTGGCTGAGTTTTTTTAAAAAGAGGTGGAATATTTCTGTTTCAGGCCCGGTGCTACGGTTAGATTGGTTAAAATAATCCAGCTTGTGGCCCAGAGAAAGCAGCCCAGTTGCAGGATCACGTTGCAAGGCTGGAGAATCGGGGTCGGGCTCCCCGTCGCTGCGAGCTGGGCGAAGTCATTTGCAAAACGACGGTTGGTCCGTGCTCTGCACCTTCAGAGTGGCAACACGGTGTAGCAGGATAATGATGAAGGCATGTAGGGTCTCCTGGAGAAATGTCAGTTAATTATTCACTGTGAGCTGTTTGTTGAACTCTCGCTTGCTGGGTCTCACGTGTTTTGAGCTGAGCAGAGCAAAATACAGGAGGGAATCCAGTGCTCTGTGTCCGCCTGCTAATTATTTGCTTACTGATCCATGGAAAAAACCCAAACATAACAGGCATTAAACTAGGTATTGAAGTTAGCATTAGAGAATAGCTCTGCCACGTGGAAAGGCAGAAAAACTTTTAAGAAAAAGATGTTTTGTAGGAATAAGTTGCGCTTCGTTTTTATCACAGCTATTTACTTCGAACAACTTTTGGGGAGTCCTTCTGAAGCTCAGAATGCATGGACTAATGGTGTTTTATGTATAATTGGGTAGTATCTTATTTTCCTTTGCATAATTCAAGTGAAACCAACAAACTGCAAATAAGGGCAGCATAAATGCAGTGCCAGCAATCCCTAGCGTGACCAAGTGCAGTAAGAGAATGCAGGTGGGGAAAGTTTATCAGATGGTTAAATAAAAACAAGTGGAAAATAACTACAATATTTAAAAAAAAAATAGAAGGGGAGGTATTTGCTCATTTGGGTGACCTTTTATTTATAGGAAATGGAATTTTTTTGAAACCTCATATCAGCTTGCAACGGGTGCATGTTTTGTGGTTTAGAACTAAGAAAAGTTCCACTTAGACACATGCACTTGCAGAATAAAGTCCTTGGGAGTAACCAAGGTATAATCCTTAGAGATCATTAAAGCTCTCCATGAAAAAGATTGAGATACCAGTTGTAAGGAAAAAAAAAAAAAAAAACCAAAACCAAAGCACATTGTTTAGTAGTTTATCTGCAGAGGGTCAGTTTTCCATACAGGAAAGGGTTGGTGTATCTGACAGGAGGTCTGACAGAAGGGGAGCTCTGGAACGAGCAGTTCTCCAGAAGAGGAGAGCAGGCAGTCTGACATGAAGGCTGAGCACACAAAACTCAAAACTCGTGCCAGACTCCTCTGTCTTAACATTGACACCTACTTAGAGCCACCCAAGGAGAACAATTTAATTACCTAAAAATTGTGAATGGTTCCCCCCTAGTAGGTCTGTTATGTGCTAAGCTGATAACGACTGGTCGAGGAGATGAGAGGCTCAGATCAGTGGAATGATGGTTGCTTAGCAATTCTAGGCAAGAAATGCATCTCCCCTTCCTCCAAGATCACATGAGATACTTTTGCCAACACCATCCCTGTTCACTTGAGCAAGACCCTATTCACACCCTGAAACATGGAGCTGTGTTAACTTCAGCACTCCTGAGGGTGTGGAGTCCTCCTAACTTTCATCAGCAGGAGGACTAAAAGGGGTCAGAATCTGGTCAGAATCAAATCACTTCTTATATTGTCCTGGTAATTATAGAAAAGTACTGCTGCTGGGAGGTGGTTATGGATTTGTATACACCTCAGCTGCTCCTTTTTAACCTTCTGAGAAAGCACTCTATTATCTTCCTTGTCTTCTCTTACTTTATCACCTACTTCTTTCCTTGGGCGTTGGAGGGGAAAAAAAACCCTGAAAAATTATTGAGCTTCACAGAATGTGCTGAAATCCTCTCTCTGAGTGCCAAGGGCTGGAGGTGGGGAGGGGAAGGAGCAAACTTCATCTCTTCTCTCATGTTCTGAGTACTCAGAAGTTGCCTATGAAATGAAGTACTTGGGGTTTCATAAGTGGCTAGTGGGGAGCAGGGTCAGTATCGTGCTATCTTCAGGAAAACAGGAGTGCACAGCGGTAAGAAGTGTTCTGTAAAGGCACTTCACATTTCAAGTATTCTTTTTCTGGGAAAAAAAAGGTTATCATACATCTAGTTTTGAGTGTATTTATAGCCTTATAATGTGTTAGCAGAATAAAGCAAATTTCTATAATTCTATCTAGAAAATACAAGTGGAGGAAGAAGTGATTACATTTCAGATTATTTCTCTCTATCAAGGATATCCAGTTATTTGGAAAATAATGCAAAAATTGAAAATAGAGAGTATTATTTATTTTTTTCTTCGAGTTTTCTTTCTCAGCACGTTTCTCCATATTTATTTCCTGCCATTAAATGGACTGCCAAGGTTGTGTTAGCATCACCCAAAATGGCAAAGATGAATTCAGCGTGTAAACGAATCACAGAGTATCTCAAGTTGGATGGGACCCATAAGGATTATCGAGTCCAGCTCCCTGCCCCTTGCAGAACCACCTAAAACTAAACCATGGGACCAACTCTGTCAGCTGTTACCAGGCTTGCTGCTGTGCCCACTTGGCAGGGAGGTCTGTTCCAGTGGCTGACCGCCCTCTCAGTGAAGAAGTGAATGATAGTATGTGAGGGGCATTTTTCTGTGAATAGGGAAAATAAAAACTCACAAAAGGGGTGAAATCAAAAAAATTGAGAAGGAGCAGGAGAACAGTGCTGGTAGAGTTCTGCAAGCTCTAGTCTGTGTGTATTTATGATGTGCCACCAACAAGAAGAGAAGTTTGGAGCTACTGCTTTTACAAATCAGTGTGGCCCCTGTCCATGGCCAGTCATTACCACTTGGACACTAAAACAGGGGCAGGTTGCTGGATTCCTCCCAGAATCATGGGATTACCGTCTCCTAAACTGATGTCATCTGACTGTGAGCCATAATTGGGACACACTGATGGGATTTGGGACCTACTGGACCAAATATGCCAGGAAGAATTAGGGAGGTCTCTGTGTACTGTCTCTCTGTATAAAGAAAATGATATTTCCTTTTCATGTGGAGAATCAGAGCTATGCACTTTCATTTCCCTCCAAAGAAAAAGGCTGGACATAAAATCAAATGAGATACTGGGCTGATCCTCAGTATCTGCTTAACTGCTGTGTCAGACTCCAGCATGAGCAGGAAACAGAAGCTTCTTCAAAGGGACAGTCTTCTCATTTCAAAATACAAGATTTCTCTGACCATTAAGTCCCTTGGGGATCCCTGCTGGGACAGGACCCTTTAACATCTTTAATAATGACCCAGATGGCAGGACAGCACACTCTCAGGAGCTTTGCAGATGTTAGCTTGCTGAGAACATGGCAGGGCAGGTCCAGAGGGACCTTGGCAAGCTGGAGAAAAGGGCTGACAGGGACCTCCTACACTGCAGTGGTGACAAATGTAATGCCATCCCCTTGGGCAGAAAAATTCATGATTTAATACAATCTGGAGGTTCAACAGGCTACAGAGCAGTTTTGCAGAAAAGTCCCTGATGTGGTCTCATTTTTTATTGATATCTCAAAAAGCAATTAAGCTGCAAGGAAGGTTTTAGGGAAAAGTCATGAGCACAATTCTGGATGAGCATTGCCACATCCTACTGAGGATGGTCCACATCATCACAAAAGCTGCAGTAAAATTTCCTGGATTGTTTCTAACCTAGCTAACCTGTCTCTAGCACCTCTGTGTATTTTGGTTACTCCCTTGAAATGCTTAAACTTATTGAACGGGTCACTTTGATTAGGTTCAAAAATAATTCGTACCATGAGTGCTCACCAGCGAGTAACTGTCAGTGTAAATGTTTCTCATGCCTGGGGTTTTTACATGCATTATGTGACTGTTTCTTGCAGAGACTGAAGGAACTGAAACACAGGGAGTTTGCACGAAATGTAGCATCTAAGTCACGAAAAGATGAAAGGAAACAGGAGAAAGCTCTTCAACGCTTGCACAAGCTGGCTGAGCTAAGGAAAGAGAGAACGTGGTAAGTGCACAGTAGCTGAAACATAAAAAATATTTTAAAATAAGCCCTCCACCGTTAGCTGGTGCTGTGGGATGCAGGGTGTTGGAGGCCCTTGGCTGCAGCCCCACACATGTGTTTTTATGGCATTTTGGAAGCTGTATGTGTACAGTATTTGGTTCACACTATATGCAGAAATGAATGTTTAACGTTGCTTTTTCAGCTGAGCTGAAATGACACGTATTTTTAGTTCAAAAAAAGACATGTTTCATATATATTTCATAAAACCAGGCACATTGGTTGAAAGCTGAGTGAACTAGGTCATGCTTTTGCAGGCTGGCACTACTTCATTGATGAGGTGAGGAACACAGTCTCTCTCTCTAGGATGTAACAGATCTCTATGATTTAGGTTTCAAAATGCTTGCCAGGGAAAGCATCCAGAAATGTAGCTTTAAATTTCAATAGCTGGATTTTATATATTAAAAGGTAAGTGCTCCTTTTTTCCCCAGCTCAACAGAGTGTTTACCTCTCTCTGCAAAAGTGACTCCTTGCTACTCATACATTTTACTGTTGCATCCAAACATGCTGTAGAAATGAATATTGAGCTTGCTGGTTGTGACTGAATGCTCAAACAGGACACAGTTCTGACACCGATAAGCCACTGAAAATACATGTACTCATCACAGTGTAATCTCTCTGGGGGAAAAAAAAGAATTAAAAAAAGGTAGATGCTCAAGTGCAAATGTTTTCCTTTTATTCAGTCTTCGTCTCACCAGATGAACCAACAGAGAAGTCCAACCAAGTTGCAGCTTTTGCTCAGAAATAGTCTCTTTCCCCTTAGTTTGGATGGTGGGCAGCCTGCTGGAACAGAGTCTGTCTGAGCAGGTGGAGAGGATGTGAACGTTGTGAGGTCTATTTGGCACGAGAAGCGTGACGCATAATGTTTTAATCTTTTTATGATAGCTCATGGAGAGACTCTTCCTTCTCTATCAGTATTTTAACTGTCCAAATTTAATACTTGAATATATTAGATATTATTCCCCTTAAACACGCTCCAGAATCTGAATTTAGCATATTTCAGGAGAAAGAGGAAAATAAACCTTACCGTTTCCCTTTTTCCATGCTAGTGAAGCACGGATTTTGCAAGCTTTTGTTGTTTCTGGATTTTTTTTTTTTTTAAATATCTTTTTTCTAGTTCCTGAAGGAGAACTTCTGTCTGAGCTTTATTTTTCTACCTAATAATTGCTGTTTACTACCGCTTTGCATCCTTTGAAGTGGGATACAGACAGACACAGGTTTTGTTTTTTTTTTTAAGCTGGTATTTTCTAGGTTGGTTTTGTAGAAGTCACCATTTTATTCTTTTAAAGGAAGGGTTTGTGTGGAGTTTATAATATATATTTTAAATTTATGAAGAACTGGGCAAGGCAGGAATTCTCATGAGAAATTCATCTCTTGTAAAACTTCTGCTTTAATTTCTAGACCCAGTTGGGTCATTATTCTTTATCTCAGCACTTTTTGGGGTCCTAAATGACACTTGCAGGATTTTCCCAGTGACTCATCATCTAATATTGCTCTGCACTGTAACACAGAATAATTTGGTTCAAACAAACAAATTGTTTTAACATAGGTCCATTACTCCTAGTGTTTAGCAGTTCCTGTGGATCCTGGAAAACTGGCAGTTAAATATTTTTTGCTTTCCTCTTTCCTTCCTATTAAGTCAAATAGAACAGATGGGAAGAGGAAAAGAAATGGAGAACAGAAGCAGACAGTGATAAATTTTTTCTCAAGAGGGATGAATCACTTAATTCACTCCTGTCAGCTGAAATACTCTCCCCAGTTTTATTTTTCCATGAAAGAAATTGCTGAGATGGCGATGGTTTGGTCTGTGAACACAAATAGGATGGGAGCTGCTGGGGGATTGCCTGTGGGCAGAGCAGCAGTCACTGGAATGATGACTAAGAGGAAAGTGCTCCATGAGGTGCTCTCTGTTTTAATATATTTTGTAGCACTAAGGAATGTAAAACCTCCACTATTTGTAGTAATAGTGTTGTAACCATGCTGGTCTACTGGGAGGAGAAGCAAGATTTCTTGGGAGATATGCAGTCTCTTATTTGGCCAGCCAGTGTGTCTAGGAAAAGTTAACTACTTTGTAGGAATATGAGTCCTTCAGCTGGTAACACATGAGGGAGCTGGGAGCATAATATTTACTCATTTTTTTTCCCCTCTAATACTGGTCAACTGATCTTATTGTAAAAGATGGCGTTTTTTTCAAACATTCTAAATCCACATATCTACAGATTCCTCGTCTTTCCTTAAAAAACTCTCTTAGATACCAGTGTAATACCATGTTTCTGTCAGCAGTTCTCTGAAAGGCTTTGACTCAAAGAGTTTTGTTTTCCTTCCTAGTGCTCCTGGAAGCGGCCCTATGTTCAAATCCACTACAGTGACTGTGCAAGATGACTGCAGTGATGTCCCAAAAAGTGCTGCCATGGATTCTGCCAACCAGCAGGATTCCAGCTGTACATTAATGCATGATGCACAGAACTGTAAAGACGTTGCTTTTGTTGTTCCTTCCACTCCTGGGGATGTGTGTGGTAATAAATCCGATGCTAGCAAATGTGGAGATCAGGTTCAAGGAGCTCAAGGACACAGAGTTGGGTTCTCCTTTGCTTTTCCTAAGAAAGCAGCAGTGAAACTGGAGTCTTCAGCTGCTGTTTTCTATGAATATAATGACGAAACTTCTATGGAGCACGGATTTAGCAGAAGGAGTAGGTTTATTCCAGGAACATGTAACCTTCAGCCTCCTTCAGCAGCAGAAATAGTCGTATGCCCTGAGGAGAAACAAAACTGTTTTCACCCACTGGTGGAAAAGTGCACAGACACAGCAGAAGCCCCTGAAGCTCAGGATGCAAAAGAGCTGGCCGGTGAGGAGAGCAGGGTGCTGGAGAGTCCCTCCTTAGCTCCTGCTCTGTCCCACTCAAAGCAACTGGTGTCCTCAGACACGGGGGGCTGTGCTATGGATGTAATCAGAGCTGACTTACCGGAGCAAACTCTGCCCGTGGCTGTGGACAGCGCTCAGGTCCTGCCCCTGGACAGCAGTGGGTCTGAGCTGCAGGCAAACAGGCCTCTTGTGCAGGAGGGTGTGGAGGATTGTTTGTCTCTGCAGGACCTTGCGGAGGAAAACGGCAACGACGGGAAGAGCGATCCACCCACAGCTGAAACGGAAATAAAGGATCCGGGGGCAGATGCAGTAGTTTCATCACTGTCTGAAGAAGGTGGTAGTGGAGCCTCAAAAACCAAACCAGACGTGCACAAGAGACCATGTCAACCCTTTGTTCCTGTTCTTAGCAAATATGGATCAAATATTCTTCAGTGGCCATCAGAAATGTTAATTTACACAAGTACAGACCCATCGATTTCTTACAGCTGTAATCCTTTATATTTTGATTTTAAGTCATCCAGAGCAAGTGACAGTCAAGAAAAGCTCAAACATCAACCAAACATACCTCATTTGCACCATAAAACTGAATCTGACCATATCTTAGTCTCGGATTTTACAAATAAACAAACTTCAGAGTGTGGTGATTATGAAGCAGAAGTGAATAAAAATGTGTGCAACTATACAATACCCCTTATAAATGATGTTTCCCTTTTCAGAAATTGTGACCTTGCAAAAAATCAAAACAAAGTGTCCTTGGATGACTCATTCAGAATTAGAAAAATAGAAAAGTATCACATATCTAAAAACCACTTACGACAAAACACTGTGATGGATGAGAAATATAACAAAGTCTGGATCAAAGAAAGCCATGAAAAATGGCTTCACAAAAGCAGAAAAAGGAAAAGGAGAAGAAAATTATGTCGTTGTCATCATCATCACTGTGGGGACACAACAGCAGCAGAAATGGAGATGTCTCCAGTACCTGAGAAAGAAATTACTTACAGAGATGAAAATAAATATCAGCACCTCCAGAATAATGCAGAGAAGTGCAGACACGATGCAGGGAATATCTGGTTGGCTACAGGTGAGATACAGCAGTCACATCCAAAACTTGGCATTGAAAATAGTCATAAGAGAGTCATGTCCGCATCAGATCACGTACACTGGGACAGAGGCTGGTGTGACTTTTGGAGTGCAAAAAATAGTGGCCAACACCATGGTTGTAAACGGCTGCACAGAAAGAGCAGAGCAAGCTCTCGGAGGCAGGCAAAGCAGCTGGCTCCAAGTTCCAGGAAGCACAGCCTGAGGCACTCTAAAACATGTTGTAGCTGGAAAGTCAGGAGGTCAAGCTGTAGCCCAGAGCACAAATGTTCAGGCCAATGCAGTGGGGAGAAGGGTCCGAGTCAAAACCAGTCCGTAAAGCGAGGTTACAGTGTTCTGATCGAGGAACCTGAAAAGTGCCACCGCAAGCGGAGGCAGCACAGCTACTCCTCTTCATCAGATGAGAGCTCCTGTGGACAGGCATTATCAGCAGAGGAATATCTAAGGCAAATGTCTACTTTAGTTACGTATCACAAAGCAAAAGGGAAACACAAGAGAAGGAAAACTAGAATCCATCATGTTTTCCTTGACAGGAATGCAAGAAGCGAGACCTCTGGACCTGCCAAAGAAAATTCTGCAAGTTCTACGTTAAATATTTTGGGGGACTTATTGGCTCGAGACAATCTAGAGGAAACTAATGCAGATCCCAAAGCTGATGGTGCAAAAGATACAGATGAAACAATGGAGCTGGAGGAAAGCAAGTCACCTGTAGAGGGTGATGGTTCGCACGTGCTGGAAAACGATAAACTGACGGCGAGTGCAGCGATGGAGAGCACGCCGGATACGTTTTCTGATGTCATCGCGGGCTCTGCTGCTCCTGTTCCTGAGCACAGTGCTCCGGCAGCTGCTGGCACACAGGATGTTCTGCAAGATGAAAAGAAAAAAGAAAACATCACCAGTCACGAAAATCAAGCTCGTTACAAAGTCCCCCTCTCCAACAGACATTTGGAACCGGCTCCTCCTAAATCCTATCTTTGCCATTATGAGTTGGCCGAGTCTCTACCGCACGAGAAAATGAGTGAGGTGACCAGTGAATGGGTACAGTGTAATCCTGGCATATTTAGCAGCCCGCCACCCTTGCCATTCAAAGAAGCACATGTGAACAGTCATACCTTTTTGACTACCGAGCAGTTAATAGCCCCCTTCCCCCTGCCCGATCAGACATTGATTTTCCCTCCCGACAACCACGAAAAATTCAAAGAGCTGCCGTCCGAGGCGTATCAGCAGATCGTGCCACAGGGCGTGCTGGCCAACAAAGTGAAGTTCGCCTTCCCCCCCGCGGCGATCCAGCCCCCGAGCTCCCCGCTGCAGCCCCTGCCCCTGCAGCCGCCGCTGTGTTCTACCTCGGTCACCACCATCCACCACACGATCCTGCAGCAGCACGCCGCCGCCGGCACGCTCAAGGTTCTCCAGCCCCACCAGCAGTTCCTCTCGCAGGTCCCGGCTCTTTCCAGAGCGCCTTTACCTCATCTGCCGGTGGGGCCGAGGCTTTGCCCGGGCGGCCACGCTGCCTTCGTGGCCCCGCCGCACTTGCCGCTGCTGCCGCCCTCGGTCCTGCACCCGACCCAGCTGGCGTTCCCCCCGCTGCCACACACCGTCTTCCCATCCCTGCTGTCCCCGCACCCGGCCGTCATCCCCCTCCAGCCTCTCTTTTAGGACAGGGATGGGATGGGGGAAGGACCCTTCGGCTAAACGGTCCTGATGTTTCCACGGTCCCCTCAGCTTTGCAAAACGGTTCTGTGAACTAAACTGGTTAAAATGCCTCGTTCCTTGGGAAGCATTTACTGTAAGTATTATGATGCAAACATTCATGGCAAGTTCAGACCTGTACTATAACTAAGGCACTGAATAGTCTGATACTAATTATGAACTATATATATAAGTGAAAATCATGTCTTAGAATATGTATAATGTATATAAAATATATTTATAGTTCTATAACTTATGTTGTAAAGTATTCACCTTTCTTTTTTTATCTTTGTGTATTTGCACCTATTTAATGTTTAGACAAAGCTGATGCACTATGTTTTGTACTATGTTCTCTGAAACTGTAAATCTAGTGACAAACTATCTCTTGCAATAAATTTTTGTTAACTACTTAAGTATATCAAAAATCTTTCATTACAAGCCTCATGGATGTTGTTCTTCCATGTCCTTCTGCAGCTGAATGGCATCTTTTACCCCTGTTATGTTGGGATAATCAGGTTTCCCACACGTCAGTGATTTATCAGGGAGGTTCAGAGGCCAATACCTTGAGGGCAGCTGTCTTACCGAGCCAGAGAAAGGGTAATAGATGTGTTTGTGTTAGTGGTTTGATGTCACCGTGACAAATTTTGCCTACTTGTGGTATGTGCACAGATTGCTGACTGGTGGAGCTAATCCCTTTTATACTAAACCACAAAAAGACGATGTAACAAATGTAACATGGGTAGCAGAACTGGGGGGAAAAAAGGATAATATTGATGTCGGTTTGACTTCAAGAGGACGTTGCTTGTAGCAGCAGGGAGGGGAGGTCTTGGTTCCACCCAGCTTGCTCTGTGTGATGGCTCATGGCCCTCAGGGGGGTGGATCTGTCCGAGGGAGGGCCTTGCTGCCTGTGCAGTGTGTGGAGGAGGGACCAGGAAGAGCTTTGTATGGGAAACCCACCAGGGTTTGATATAAATTCTTACCTCACTTCGCCCCTCTCTCTCCTGCAGCATTTCGCTAAAGAAACAGAATAACACAGAGTAGAGACTAATTAAAGTAATAATATACTGCCAGTACTTCTAACTGTACTACAGAGACTTCTCCCTACCTCTGCAGCCTTTTTATTGCTGTTGAACCCCACCCAGCTTTAGCCAGTGAAATCTTCTCATTTGCTTTGGCATGAGATATATCAGACTTACGCCTGTGATGGTCAGGAATAAAAGCAGGAGTCATTTGGAGGTAGAGTCATCTCTTTGAGTTAAAATGAAGTGTTACCATGTGAGTGAACCTAAGGATTTGCAGCATGATGGTTAGTGCTAGTGGTAGGCCCTCCATAACAAAAGGGCCTCCCAATAAATTACTTCTTTTCACCTTTTTATATAGTATAATAAAATCATGTAAAGCTGAACTGAAGGAATAGTAAATTCAAAGTATTATTAATATACATTGCATATTAATAGCTACAGATGTTAACCATTTGGAAAGTAATACTATATCCTAAAACATGTATTTTCTCCATCTAGAGCTTTAGAACTTACCTGTATCAATATTGCACGTTTTAGCACAATATAACATTAAAACTATAGCAAAAAACTTACCACTTGTGATCTTACCACTAAGATCACAAGAGTCAGCTATTCAAGATTTCCATGTTGTGCAGTTGCAAAGGGCTAAACTACATTAATAAGCAAAAAGTTGGTAAGAAAGAGCAGATGAGCAGTCAGGTCCTGGAGAGCAGCTGGGATCCCCTGCCTGAGGCTGCAGCATGGGGTGAGATGTGGCTGAGCATCCTGCAATGCCGTAAAGAAAGTCTATTTTCTCTAGTTCTAATTTCAGGTGAATGCCCATTTCTATTTATGTGGTACCTGAAAAATGTAGAAATAAGTGAGTTTATACTGCTTTATTTCAAGAGTTTGCCTACATGACGTGTGTGTGTCCACTGCCTCCCATGCTGAGCAGGTGCTGGGCATGGGAATCTCTGTTGGAATCTCTGGGAGGGGATGTACTGGCTGCCCTCTCTGTTGCCTTGATTGACTTGTGCTGGCTTCTGCATTTCTGCCTCCTCTGTGGGAGCCAGCACAGACAGTCCCCTGGGTTCTGGTGTCCCATCAAAGACAAAATCCACCTCATTTTATAGCAGTACACTTAAAACAAAGAATCCCCATAGGACAAATGTGATTGCACATTCTGGCAGGAGATTAAAAAAATCACCAATTTAAAATTTTCAGTTTCAATGTTTTTTGAAAAATCCCATCTATTAACTTGGAGGTCCACATTTTTTCAACAAAATGTTCCAACAGCTTCGAATTCTACTTTTTTTTTCTTACAATATAAATTATTTTTTTCTATATTCAGTTGTTAAACAGTTTTAAGACATTTCACAATTCTTTATTATCTACTGTAATTGCTGTTCAATAGTGTATAAACTACTTAAAATAAAAGACTAATAACCATAAAATGTAACAATTTTCTAATATGATATTGCCTTTAATGCTAGAACTGTTTGTATGTGACTTCATATGTAAAAGCAAAACCAGTATAAAAATAAATCACAAGTAAAGTTTTAAATTGAACACACTAAATTAAATTGCCTAATAAAATATTCTTTTGAGTTTCTGTTTTATTATTAAATATATAACTTCTAGTAAGTTATGTAAGGATAGTTCTTCTTTTATATATTTTATCTGGTATTTGAGATTGTGTATTTTTGTTCCATAAATTGGTAGTCGGATTTATAAGCAAAAACTATTGCAAATGCTAAATAATTGAATTTTTATCCTTCTGAAAAATTCGACCAAATTTGTTTTAAATCTAAGACATTTAATTTTGAATTTACAAATTTTCACAGATCTAGGGTGTCTATGCTCCTGGCCAGTTTGCCAATTTTTAGAATTACTGGGCTCACAAATGGCAAGAATTAGACCTTCAGACCTGAACCTAAACGAGGTTATAGATTTTGTTAAGTGATTTCCCGGACCAGCTCTGCGGAGAATTACCTGAAAAGTTAACCTGTTCCACTGAGATGAGAAGAGTA